TAATACGCACACACACACATATATATATATATATATGTGTGTGTGTGTGTGTGTGTGTGTGTGTGTGTGTGCGTATTTATATATATATAAAATATAAGTATATAGTTATGTACCTGAATAAGCACTTGTTCGTGTGATTGTGAGTCTCCTCACTCAACCGCCACATTACAGGAACTCTTCCGTAGTTGTAGGGCTCACCAACATTCGAAGACCTTTAGTGAGATCGCGTAGGTATATGTTCCTGTTTTCTATGAGATAATACTTGTATACATAGTATTAATTGTGTTGTGGTATTTTTATTACTTTGCATAACTCGACCGTAGTACCTATATGTCTAGAGCAATTAACCTGTCATACATTCAATATAACGAATTTGCGTGCTACAGTACATGTTCCAGGATTTTATATATTGTAGTACAACTTTTGCAAGAATGAATGTTATTGTAACTTCTTTCTATTTATGAGGACTCTTCATTCTATTTTTAGGAACTACGTTGCAAGGAAATTTGGGGTTAAGAGTGGCATGCTCCTGGGGAAGGCTTCGAGATTGTGCCCTAAAATCATCACTGTCCCCTACGACTATGAAGCAAACGAGCGCGTATCTAAAATCGTATGTCAAGATTTACGTAAGAGGATGGACATACCATTCATAACTGCGAGGCAACTAGACGTGTGTTCTAGTTTGTTTGTCATGGCTTACGTCTTGATTTAAATAGTTTATGTACATCTACGAAGCAAAGGAGGACGTATCTAAAATGTATGTCAGGGTTTACATAAAGGTTGGGTGTTCTTTGTATAAGTACGAGGCAACTAAATCTGTGTTCTAGTCTGTTAGCCTTGGTTCGTAGTGATTTTATGCATTTGTACGATGTAAAGGAATGCGTATATAATCATATAAGCTATGATTTACGTAAAGGGATAGGCAAATTCTTGTACGAGAACGATGCAAACGCGCGCGTATCTAAACCTGTGATCGTAAGAAAGAAAAGTGAGTTAATGTAGCGAATTCAGTTTTTACCGTACGACTTATTGGCAAACAAACCTTCGTTTGGGATTGAATCGAACAGTTGAGGTTACGAAATAGACCATTTATGCCCGACACATGCAATTGCTCATAGCTGATGGCTCAGTTGCTAGCTCGCTTCGGGCTCTGTTTACGGCACTCATTGTTCCACTTGGTTTTGTCTCATTCACAAATACTCCCCATGTGAGTATGACTTGTTAAGTTTTTGTAAACATATATGCATGC